GCCAGCTCCGAGAGTCCCTCGGGACCTCCGGGATGCCGGTCCTCCCAACCAAGTGCTTGGGCAGCCCCTTCCTGACATCCCACGGCGTCGCGCCGTCGCGCCCCCGCGTGCCACCAAAGCTGCGTCGCCGGCAAAAAGACACGGATTTCGTGCTGCCGAGCTGCGCGCAGCTCCTCCGGCCGCAGCACACAGTCACCCCGCGGGGCAGCTCCCGCCGCAGGGTTCCCACGAGCATCGCCCCTCCTGCTCCCCACCGCCACCACTGTCCCAGCAGGCATCTTCCCCGACAACTCGTAGAAATCTCGGTTTAACACGTCCTCCTGCTCTCGCCACCTCCCAGTTTGCTCCCCGGTACCTGTTTCCACCAGCCAGGCGCAGGGAAATCACGGTCTGCGACGTTCACCGCGGACAGGAGCGGTTCCCGTTCCCCTGCAGCAACAGCCCGGCAGGTCACGGCACCGGCAGCGCCTGGGCGAAAAACAGCCCAGGGCTGCTTGCCTGCGTTTGGGGTTGTTGCTGTCAACAACAACTCGTGATACGTCGGTTTTCCGACGTTTCGAGCGCCCATACAGGTAAAAGCACCGCAATTTCGGCGTTCATTGTCCGTCACCCGCGCAACTGCTCACCTCACGGTGCAATGGGAAGGGGCCAAGGGAGCTTGATAAGGGAGCGCCAGGAGCCCTGTTAAAACCCGGCTGTGGCCGAGAAACATAGAAGCACAGCGTCCAGGTGTGTCCCACAGCCGAGACTGGTAAGGAAGGGACGGCGATGTCTGGGAAAGAAACCAGACTGGGAATTCCGGATAAGCGTTCGTTCGCTTATCGAGAGAAACGACAAGGTTCTCCATGCCCTGCAGAACTGGCTCGGAAATGTTGCGGCTGGATAGCTGTTACCCCGCTGCTTGTCGTGGCTGAGCGCGTTGTGGAAAGGCTGCAAATCACCCGCCCCAAGGTGGGAGGCAAGGCAGCCGCCAGGGCGACAGGGACCTCGACTCTGGCTACGTGTCCTCGCCCTGCACAGTCCTATTAACTGCCGTGAGCACACGGGATCCACCCAGAGACGCAGTATTTCTGCGCTTATATGAAGGGTCAACAATATCAACTGCCGGCACAGTCTTTCCTCTCTACATGCCCAGCTATTTCCTTTCCTACCGAATAATCGTTGCCGAAAGATAAACCGTACCAGCACTACTTACCATTCTTACCACCAGTCCACAGAATGATGAAAGTGTAGGCTTCACACCGATAAAATCCAACGTTAGTCATCTGGTTGTATTTTAACCCAATTTAATTCTGGAGCAATTTAAAGACTGAGAAGGAAAACGATATGCTTTACCCACCGCAGCTGCATCCTGCACGTAAGTACACATTATGCCTCTCCGTTTTGGAGCACTTCTGTAACAAGCCGTGTCTGCAGGCTCACAGTGCTGGGAGCAGATTTCTTTTCTCATAGGCCCTTAAGCAACAAAATCCCAATTACCTTTCTTTCTTTCTTACATACAATCTACAAAGAAGAAAATCTGCAGCTTTCTTGGAGATAAATCTTGAAACAGTCTTCAGCCACTTACTTTCTCTGAAATAAGCTCTGAATCTCTTCTCCAACCACTGCCCATTTCGTGTCTTTCCTAAACTCTGTGTACTAAGCAATTTCTCTAACGTGCATATCGCAAGGAGTTCTTCTTCATATGAGTGCACACATGACCCGTATTCACAGTACCTTGTCCGCTTAATCCCAGCAGCAGTAGGATGGGCAAGCAGTGGAGAGCTGAGTACAGTGAAGAGATCTCGGGAAAGGCATGGAAGACTGAACACTTCCACCTCCCGTATGTCGACTGATCTGGAGACATTACGTCTCCTTCACTTTGAAGAGAAGCCCGAATATTGAAGGCGACGCCTCGAAGCTCCTGAAAGCACCATTTGCAGGGAGAGGAGTGCAAACGTGCTACAGCTAAGGGGAAAGGCACCTGCACCAGGAATTCCTTCGGGGACGGGTTCAAGCCAAACCCCAGCCAGAGCCGCTCACTCCGGCGCTACTCCCGGCTCCGCCGGGGCTCCAGAGGAGCCTCTGGCAACAGTGGGCCCAATGCACTCTCTGTTCGGCTCCGGGCTCGGTGCTACAGTGAGGCACCAGCCCCGGCTCCCCAGACGGAGGTGAAATGTTAAGTCACGGGTGTACACAACATCTTCCTTTGAGGGAATCAGAATATGAGAAGAACCGAGCTGAAAGGGAAAACAGAGGACTACAGGGTCGCTGCCCTCACTGAGTGAACAGGCCGGGATAGATCACACATCGTTACCACAGGAAAGTGCTTAAATCTGTCAGAGTCAATAAATTAAGCAGTCACTAGAGCAAGATGAAAGTGTTGTCTCAGCTTCAGACCCCAGGACACTTTTGCCCCCGCTCCACCCCATGTCCACACCACCATCCCGGCTCGGTGAAACTCGCACCTGGAGTAGGACAGACAGACAGCAGTACTGACAACATAGCGTCGCTCCTCGGGGCACAACCGACAATTCGCGGATGAGACTGGGCAGGTAAAAAGGCAGAGTCAAGAACACACACACACCCACACCCACACACACACCCCACCCCCGAGCTATTGAGCAGTGCGCCCGGAGAGGACGTTGAGCTCTGCCGGTTTCTCACCGATCCCCGGCGGGGAAGAAGATTCACGCAAGTCCGCAGAGAGGGACCCCAGGACAGAAGCTCACCTGTGCCGAGCTCTCTGGGCTGGGAGGGTCCTTCCCGGAATGAGTGCCTGAGCCGGGTTTCCCGGCCAGGAGACGGTCAGACAGCGCTGCCGCCCCTGGTCTCAGAAATGTGAAGTCCTTCTGGACCGATTCGGAGGCTAAACACACCTCGTAGGAGTAGGGCAAGGGCAGCGTGCTGCTGCAGTAGTTGTACGGTGCTTTTGAGCCCAGGCTGGAATACAGTTCCTTATCAGAAGTTATAAAAACGGGAGGGCTCCTCGATCGTCGGCATTTAAAGAACAATATCAAAATGACTGTCGAAACGAATAACAATGACACGACAGTTTTTGCTTTTTCCTGTGTGACTGGGTCTTCGAGACAGACTGTTGCTAACAGAGTGAGCGTCTGTGCATTTGCTCCCAGAGTTTTATACACGTTATTTGCCATAACCATAGCTTCACGGATACTGTTGGATGCTAGGTAACATTCGATGAGACCTGATGATATAAAAAGGAAAACATTTCAGTTTTTGAGTTAGCACTACAGACACTCACCCCTCCTCAATTATTTGCACTTAGTAGCAACTCAGACTCCGAACAACTGACACTCCAATAAGCAAATGCAAATTGCAATTGAGAAAGTGACTATACATTTTAACATATCCATTCTACAGATAATTGACTTCATCACTTTTATTCATAGGCAGGTACTAAAAAAGCCTAAGACTAAGTACACCTAATCTAAGATTTTTGTCCAATTCCAGTACTGAGATATTAATGCTTCACCTGGTCTCTTCACAACTCACTATGTACTTGAAGCTGCTATCAAGATCAACAAGACTTAAATAAATATGACAGAACTATGACAAAACGAAGCTCCCAGTGGAACTAACCATACAGTTAACGTCATCATCCAGAAGTGATCTGCTCAGAACACCCAAGTCTGTTTATATCCAGATTAAACAAAACAAACAAAAAAAGCCCTGTTTGAAAATCATTCTTATAAATACATACATTCTTTAGTATCCCTCATCTGACCTCTTCTACCAGAGCTTTCTAGGTTTTTGGGTAATAATAATTTACTTACTAGAAAGTCAGCAGGAGAAAAGAACTGCTGTCTATTCCCGCGCACCACCGCCGCGCCCGCCGCGTTGTTCTCCGCCACGTAGGCGCTGTAGGCGGCCTCCTCGAACACCGGCGCGTTGTCGTTCACGTCCGACACCTCCAGCACCAGCGCCGCGCGGCTCGACAGCGCCGGGCTGCCCCGGTCCCTGGCCACCACCGTCACCCGGTGCTCGGCCGCCTGCTCCCGGTCCAGCGCGCTCGCCGTCACCACCTTGTACGAGCCGCCCGGCGACGCCACGATCGACAGCGGCGCCTCGCCCCGCAGCTCGCACGACACCTGCCCGTTCTCCCCGGAGTCCCGGTCCCGCACTTTCACCAGGGCCACCACCGTGCCGGGCGGCGCGTCCTCGGGCACCGGGCTCGACACCGACGTCAGCGTCACCTCGGGCGCGTTGTCGTTCACGTCCAGCACCTCCACCTCCACCTTGCAGTGCGCCACCAGACCGCCACCGTCCCTCGCCTCCACCAGCAGCGTGTAGCCTCGCGTGTCCTCGAAGTCCAGCGCCTCCCGCAGCGTGATCGTCCCGCTCTCCGCCTCCACCACGAACTTCTGAAGCACCTTGGCCGGCATTTCCCCGAAGCCGTAGGTGATGCGGGCGTTGGTGCCGGCGTCGGCGTCGGAGGCGGAGACGCGCAGCACCGGCGAGCCCGGCGGCGCGTCCTC